GACGGTCGGAGTCGAACTGGGGATACTGACCGCTATACTATCGAGGAAGCAGACACTTGGAAAATTTTGTTTGTTGTATATTAGTATCGGGGGATTTTAATCAGGTGTAGATGCACCGGATTTATGTTTAGGTGTTGTTATAGCCACCAATATGTGTTGGTGTTCTGACGATGTTCGTCCCTTAGGTCTATTGTGGATAATTTATAATTGAAACGTATGTTTGGGTCGTCCATCTTGATGTTTTTGTTGTACTTGATGTGTTTGTCGAATGTTCTTCTGTAGGCGTGGTAAATTATTGGTACGTTGTTCGAATTTTGTATGTAGCCCTCACTGTCCAAATAGATGAAGGATTCAGGGGGGATGTAGCCAGTTTTCATTGTTTCGGTGAAATACATTGGGTTTGGATATGTGGAGGCGAAAATGAGGCTGTTGGAGTTTATGTTGCGAGTGTTGGCCCAATGGTTCCTGATTAGTTTGAGGATGAACAGGTCTATTCTGATGAGTTTGGCGTCCTCGTAGAGTTTGTGGTTTTTGATCTTCTTTGTGAAGTTGGATTCGGGTGTCCGGTATTTATTGAGGCAGGCTCTCAGGCATCTCCGCTCGAAGATCCGTAATTTTTCCATGGTTTCAGCGCTGATGTTGAACCAGGTGGGGCAGCCGTATGAATAATTTGTAGCAGAGGGTTTTTACCGTTTTATTGAGGTCTTTCGAATAAAATAATCTTTTGAGGGAGAGAAATGCTTTTTGTGCTTTGTTAATTTGTGTTTCTATGTGTTGATTGAAGTTTAGTTTGAAATCTAGGTGTATGCCTAGATAGCGCACAATCTCTTTGTGGGGGATTTTGACGTTTGGATTGTGTTTGTCAAGGATGTGAAAGTTTTTGTGATGTTTTCGTACATCATGATTGGCGTCGGAGATTTTTGAAATATACGGCCTGAAGAGAATTGTTTCGCATTTATTAATGTTTAGTTTTAGTTTCCATGTGTGGAAATAATCTTGAATTTTATTGAACGTTTCCTGTAGTTCGGTTTGTATTTTGGATACTTTGTTGTCGCGTGTGTAGACTAGGATATCGTCCGCAAAGGCAATCGCCCCTTTAGAGTTGTCCCTCTAAACCCTCTCACTCTGTGGTATGAACCGTCCATTGCTATCGTGTCTTTCGACAGCTATCTTGGGATAGTAAATACTATCATACACCTTGATGGGACCGAGAGCGTTTATGGGTCGCACTATGGGATCGGGCATGACTGCCCTGGACCTGCAGTTTCTCATAAAGTCTGAACTGTTGTTCAAGTGTTCATACAGATCTGCACGATCTGTGATTACAGAAACAGCCTGTTGGCACTTTTGCATTTTAGCTTCAAATAAAGCGAGAGAATACAAATTGTTTCGAATACTTTACTGATATTAGGGAGGAGACTGATTGGACGGTAGCTATTAGGGTCGCTACTGTCTTTGCCTTTCTTTTTAATTGTAATTAAGTAATGCTTCGTGCCGCTTTGTAGGACATATTGCTGGTCTCGACACTACAAGTAGCGTCCCGATTCGCATATACAGGATACATGGCCGCAGTTGTAGTTGGTCTCTCTCCTAACAGGCATAATGCTGCGTTGAGCTGCTCCGCGCCAGTTAGCCGTTGTAGATTTTCGAAATCGGAGATGTCTCCATCAACTCGCATACGTTGGACATAATCAGCGAGTGTTTCATTAACGTTACGGTCCTTAACCTTCATTCCGGCTTGATAGTTGGAGGCCAGTAATGATTTGTTTCCTTCAGGGCTAAAGTTGACGGGTTCCGTGAAGTATTTAGGTGACTTCTTAGCTAAGAAGGCCACTTTTGCCTGAATGTCGTCCATATCTTCTATGAGATGGTCTAGATTGTAATCACCCGAGATGATATCGTCGGGGTTCAACAGGATGTGTTGGTCGTTCCATTTGCATCCAGGCATAGGATTGTTTTCATGGAAGCGACGACGGTGCTCTATGGCTACATTATTATCCGCCAGAGCAACAACTGTTCGTCGTAGATTAGAAAATAAAACCCTCTCACTCTGTGGTATGACATAAGCCTTGACATAACCTATTAGGGCTGAGGTGGACTGAAATACATCGAGGTCTTCATGTTGTCAGGGTTGGTTGCAGACTGGTAGGTTC